TAGACCTCCCGCCTATCGTAGCGTATTTTCGTGTGCTATAAAAACTAAAGAGATTATAGCATTTATGCTACGCTATATAAAATGTTTTAATAACACCATATTTTTGCTATTATATGATTTTCTATGGCGTTTTTCACGTGCCACAACATAATTTATAATGACATATATATAATGCTATAATTAATTATAAAATAAATATTAAATATTAAATTAATTATTAAAATTTAATTAATTAACAATAGTTAATTAAAATAAAATAATTAAAAATGAAATTTCAAGTTAATTCATAATAGATTAAATTTTATTTATTGATTAAAATCAGCATACAAATAATAAAAAAATACATTAAACCAAAAACTAATTACAAACATTAAACCAAACCATAATTAACCTAAAGCTGGTCTACACATAAACCCGGTTTAGAAAAAAAAAACTAAACCAGCTTAACCTAAAAAATCAAATCCTAATTCTGCAGCAACGCTTGCTTTGCCGCCGTCAACTAACTGCATCAATCTCCTTCTCCTTCTTACTATTTTTCTTTTTCTTTCTCTGCTCCATCTCCACTAGCACAGCTTCTTCCTGTAACAAGAACAAACAAATCAAATTAAAAACAAGAGAGAGAACAATGGCTATTGAATATTGACTGCATCATACATACCTATGGAGAACAAGAACAACCACCAGGCGTCCCATTATCCATTCCACTTCCTCTTCCCCGCCCCTGAAGTCAAATCCCCATTTAATCAAGTTACAATCTTGTCAAACAACACTAATCATTCATTCAAAAATCTCAAAGCAAACCTGAGATGTGGATGGAGTTAACTAAGACCATGAATATGGATCTGGAAAAGAAGAAGCATTGATAAGAGGATAGATAAATAGAGAAATAGAGAACGAGGAGAGAACGAGGAGAGACAGAGTTCGTTTTTGCAGGCTCCTTTGGAAAGTGAGAAGCTTTGAAATTGGAAGGTGAATGAGAAGAAATAGAGCTTGATAGGGGTATAACTTTGCAGTAATCAACAATTCTAAAAGCTAAAGATCTAAACTTTGAATCTGTTTTTTTCTTTCTGAATCTGTTTTTTTCTGCAACACTTGGTAAAACAGATTCAGAACATATTGAAATTTCTATCTACTCTCTCTCTCTCTCTCTCTCGTCCCAAAACGCAGATCTCAGAAAAATAATTAAAAACAAATGAAAAAATCAATTAATCTCAGACGTTAGATTAGATACCATCTAACGGTGAAAAATAGTGATCCGCGCCTAGCCAATAGGAACAAAGGACGAGGATTGATAGAAGATTTATTGTGGACCTTTGATCTAATTTGATCAATGGCTGAATAAAAACAAGACAAATTGTCTTTATTTATTTATAGTAGTTATTATAAAAACTATCTAAAACTATAAATATTCTGATATTATAATTTAAATTTGAAATCTAAATTTTGTATCAAAATTTTGACATATTGTGTGATTGAATAAAATATTTAAAATTAAAATTCTAATGTTGTATGATATAGTTTGATATGTGATTTGTGGTTTAGGGTTTAAAGTTAAAGATTTAAAATTAAGTATATGGTTTGAGTTTTCAAATATATTTGAAAGTTAAGATTATTATTTTTTATGTAATTTGAGTTATGATATTATGATATATATACACACTATATATCACAACACTAGTGTTAGGGTTTGAAGGGTTTGAAGTATGATATAAAGTTTAGATTATAGGTTTAGAGTTTAGATATGTAAAGCATGAGGTTAAGATTTTAAATTTGAAAATTAACTTATGTAAGAATTTGATAGAAGTTATATTTATATACTTATTAACTATTGATTATATTTATTTTGTATTTTAAATTTGAAAATTACAAATTGTGTTTTAATTTATATTTACGTAAACAATGGATTTAATGTTTAATGACAAAGTATGGAGTTAAAAGATAATTTAGAGGTTTATATTTATGAATTTCAGTTTAAAAACATAAATGTTAAAGTTTGTATTTAGGGTTTAGGGAATGTTTAGGGTTTAGAACATTAAGTAAAAAAATATTATTTTTCTGTTTATCAAATTTATCATTAGTGTTACATTTTCTTTATCTCATAGAACACAAGTATTTGGAGTTTATATATGGAATTTGATTGTTGAACAAAAAATATATATATGGAATTTGATTTGGAATCTATATACTAATAAAACACAAGTAGATTAATTATTAGCTCATCAAGTAAACGAGCTACATCGTATAAATAATCACTCCAAACACATGAATCAATCAAAGACACACATTTCTCAGCATCTTCCAATCCCTCTGGCAATGCTCCTAGCTTTGTGTAACAAGCAACTCTCTTACGTAGACCATGAATAAGAAACCTCCAGCTTACGTAGACAGCGAGATCTATGAATGACCAAGTTTAGGCAACCTCATCAGCAGGCAATCAACTGATGTTATCCATTTCTTACAATACCCTTCAAGAACACAATAAAAACAAGACCATAAGAAACAAAAAGCATTTGTCATTCAGGCCATTTGACAAGGACTGATCTAAACCAAGAGCTCCACCAACAATGAAAAGAACATCACTATGTCTCTCTTTATATAGCCTTGAACAACGCCATATCTCTTCTGCAAGAAGAAGAAACCCATCAAACTTGGTATAAGCTATCAAACTGTTTATCAATAGTTAGAAGCAATGAAGTTTCTCAATACAAACGAAAGAGTGTAAGTCACAGAGAATTCACAAAAGCTTATTTTAGTAACAGAAAACTTGAAAAATAGGCAACAAGAGAGCCACCAACGCTAGATATCAGATTTATATCACCCTCATACTTGGGAAATAGTCACATGAAAGTTGCATAAAAGATCATAAAGAAAGCAAGAACGAAACATGGATCTCAACTTATATTGCATTGTAACAATTATCAAAGTATAAAGAGCATCCCTAGATACATACGATCCCAAACGTCCATAGATACAGAGACGAACACAATGCAAAGCAATGCCAAAAAGATGAGAACTCACAAACCATAACTGGAACACAGACTTCAAACCCATAATTTTGTTCTACTAACTATATATTAAGCACTCATTGGTCAAAATAATCAATAAAAATGAAAACTTTATATCATTTTCATAGTTCAAAGATCTACATAGACATATATAAAGCTTGCTTAAGCTCTTCATACAAAACTAACACACATGAATGTAAGAGTTCTATACCAATCTACAGCAAAATATTTAAACTTTCAATTCAGTTCTTGAGGATCAACAAAGAAGTAAAGAACACAGTACACAGATGGAGAAGAAACCTTTCTTCACCAGCAGTATCCTAAATCTGGGTTTTTGTGACTCTATCCTTAACATTCAAGCTATGAGATTCATCTATAACTTTGTTCCTTGAAAAAAGGGAAACACCTAATAGAACAATCAAAGACAGGGAAACCATATTGAACTAAATCTCACAACGATACCATACAATGTGATATTTATACAATAATACATAATGTAAGAACAAAACGCCCACACACAACAAGCTTACCAAAACAGATTTGACTTTTTAGCTATAAAGACAAGAACTTTCCAGTTTCAAGAATCAAAAGAGTCTTACCTCAAAGGAATCAAGTTCCCTGAAGTTAAAATTCTCAAATATTTGCTTAAACTCTGTGGTTAAAACCATCTTCAAACTCGGGCTGCTCTGGAAACAAACATCAGAAACAAGCAGAAGTTGAGGGACCTGTCTTGCAAATACGTAAAACTCCACCATTGGAGAGGGTCGAAGCTTTCTCTCTCCGGCAGAGGGATAGCAGATGACGATTGGGGTCAGCCACGAGGAAGGAGAAGACGGGACAACTCGGAGTAATCACGGCGTGGAACGAGCAGGACCAGGTGGTGTCGCGGCTTGAGCAGTCGTGGTTCAGATTGAGATACCAGGGGTGGGATTGAGGTAATAGTAACTCGGGTTTGGAGTTTCAATTGATTGAGAATTGGCTTTGTTCTGTCCAAAGTTTAAGATAGAAAACCTAAAGAGAGAGAGAAATTTGACTGTTAATGGAGGAGAAGAAAGATAGAGAAGAGGGATGAATGATTTTTTTTTCTTTGGAAAGAAAAAACAAAATTTTTGTTTAAGTGGCGGAAAAATAAAATTTTACCTAAGTGTTTTGCCTCCAAAATGATATTTCAGTTACAAAATCGATTTTCCCGTTTCCCTTTAATGAAATTATTTCTTAGCGCGTATTTAATGCTACGGTAGAATTGTGATCCGATTTTTACGTTTTTGGTAGCAGTTCGTGAATTCGTGCTACCGTGAACTGCTACCAATACTCATATTTCTTGTAGTGATGGTAACTAGAACTCAGTCGGATTTTCCAGGAACCAGCCTAAGGATGTATAAGTCAGTCGTAATATCTGACCGTAACTCAGCCGTTATCACATAAACCAGCCAGATTTTTTTAAGTCAGCCGTAACGATCGACTGAGTTATGTTCATAACTCAGCTTATTTCTCATAAGTCAGCTAGGTTAGTTAAGTCAGCCGCTACNAACTCAGCCGTTATCACATAAACCAGCCAGATTTTTTTAAGTCAGCCGTAACGATCGACTGAGTTATGTTCATAACTCAGCTTATTTCTCATAAGTCAGCTAGGTTAGTTAAGTCAGCCGCTACGCACCTATATCTGGGCCGTAACGTAGTTCGTATCCTATTGCGGCTGAGTTTTATGCCGCATTCTTACGTGGACCCAAACTTTTTGCTTACGTGGCATAAAAAAGTAATGGCATTCTTGTAAATATGTTTTTTCTCACAACGTGAAAAAAGGGCACGTTGGGTATTAAAAAAAAGGTAGTAATAAAAAAAAGTTTTGTATGGTTGTGATAATAATTAATAAAATTCATACTAGTTGAGTTAACTTCCCTAGTTAGAATAGTTATTTTCCAAGTGGGGTATATTAGAATACTTTCCGAAACAGATCTGTAAGCTATGGTGGGATTATCTTTCCGTATTACTACGATGGAAGGTTTGAGGAAGAAGAAGATGAAAAGATTGAAGGTCAAACGAAATACAAGAGTCTTTTACAAGCCCAATTCAAAACCCGTAGCCGTTTACCTTCCCGAGCTCCCTGAAGATGTGTTGATGCAGTTCAAGTGTGTCTCGAGGCTCTGGTATTCCATCATCTCGTCTCGTTATTTTGCTTCTTTTCCTTAAAGTTCCATTGTCCAGGCTACGTGAACGGCGGCTGTTCATGTACTTAGTGGACAAGGATGGCCACAGCGACTTTGCCCTGCTATCTAAATTGATTAAGAACTTGAAGGCGAACGTCCACGAAGTCCATGAATATGTGACCATAGCCGGAATGGGAGGAGGGTGCTTTGTGAACGCTCTACGTGGATTGATGTGTTGCAGAATTGGGACAAGTGTGCGGATCTGTAACCTCACAACCAAGCAGCACGTGGAGTTGCCAATAGTTGTATCGAGCATCTCAGGAGATTCCAATATGTGGAACCACTTTTGATACGATCATGTTCAGGAGGAATACAAAGTGATTAGCTTAACTTGGGAAATGATACAAGAGAGGGTAGTGAGATCCGAGTATCACGTTTTGGTGCTTGGCCCTGGAGCTTCTTGGAGGAGAATCAACCAAAGCTTAGCTCCGCATCGTCCTTGCTCGCAAGGTATCTCCATAGATGGTGTCTTGTATTATGGTGCCTGGACTGGTGAGAGTACATTTGTCGTTGTGAGTTTCAACATGAAGTCTGAGAAGTTCAATTTGATCAAATTACCCCTTCAAGCTGGCATCAATCTAATGAACTATAGAGGAAAACTTGCTGTCTTCGACTACTCCCATCTGGTAAGTGAACAGCGAATGGACCTGTGGGTTTTAGAGGATGAGAGTCAATGGTCTGACAAGAATACTTTTTATTTGCCTATTTCACACATCAATCTAGTCATCCCAGGGGAGTTGTCTGTGCAGGGTACTAATCGTGAGGGTACGGTTAGGGTCTTCTCTAAGACTGATTACTGGTTATTGCATGCCATTTACGATCTAGATAGATGTAAGATGACAGAAGGGGTTATATTACCTGAATTGCGGGAGCGTCTCCCTTTTGAGACTGAGTCTTTGCATACGACTTACTGGGATGATTTTGAGAGCATTATGTATTTAGAAACCTGATTTACTTCTGTTTGCACACTTTTTCTAAAAAGTAATTATATTTATGCCTTCATATTTGTGTCTCACAACATCTCGAGCGTATAAGAACTTGTGTCTTTCCCTGAAGGTTTTATAAATTCGCATAAATTAGGCCTTAGATGTAAGCACTTATATGGGGAAACTTTTTGTTGTTGTGAACGTTATTTGTTTGTTTGTCTTACAATTGCAGTGTAAGATTTTCATAGTGCGGTTTGGGGCTTTCATATATTGGATCACAATGGCAATTTTGCATAACTTTTTATCATATTTTTATAAGCCTGTCTCTTATAATATTTCATTGAACTACATGTATGGTTTGTACAATGTTTTTTTACTATTTTTATAATCGCTCAAGTCTATTAAAGAAAACGTTGGTGCACGAGACAAGAAAAGAAAAAGATGAAAACGTTGGTGCACGAGACAAGAAAAGAAAAAAAATGACAATTGGGTTTGTTACTGTCATAATTAGGTATGGGCATTTTGTTGGAGATAAACTTGAGAATAACTTGATTGACAAGTTATCTAAATATAATTAGATTTGGAGTTATCTATTGTTGTGTATATCCTAATGAGATTAGGATAAAAGGATATGCTATATAAACATATGCAAGAGTTTGCATAACGTGTGAGTTTATTTAGCTTTGAGGTTTTGGGTGATTTTCCTTGAAGAGTTTTAATANTTTGGAGTTATCTATTGTTGTGTATATCCTAATGAGATTAGGATAAAAGGATATGCTATATAAACATATGCAAGAGTTTGCATAACGTGTGAGTTTATTTAGCTTTGAGGTTTTGGGTGATTTTCCTTGAAGAGTTTTAATAAGAAGAGTTTCTTATCGAGTTTACAAGTTTGTGTTCTTGAAGTTTATAACAATATTTGGTATCAGAGCGAGGATAGACGATCAAGAGCAGGTGTGAACGATGGGAGATCTTGTGCCATACACGAAACCTAAGGAGGGATCTTCCTCTATTCGTTGTCCAATGCTAAGCACAACAAACTATACAGTTTGGGCAATGAGGATCGAGGTTTTGCTGAAGGTTCATGAGGTCTGGGAAGAAGTGTTAACAGAAACTGGTGACGTGAAGAAGAACAACATGGCGGTGGCACTTCTATTTCAATCCATTCCGGAGGCATTGATACTGCAGGTTGGAGGATTAGGGACAGCAAAGAAGGTCTGGGAAGCTATCAAAGTAAGAAACATGGGAGCTGACAGAGTTAGAGAAGCACGGTTACAGACCCTAAGCTCAGAGTTTGATCGGTTAAAAATGAAAGAGACAGAATCAATTGAGGAGTTTGTTGGGAAACTTACTGAGATAACTTCTAAATCTGCTGCTTTGGGAGAAACCATAGAAGAGATCAAACTGGTCAAGAAATTTCTTAAGAGCCTTCCAAGAAAGAAATATATACACATGGTGGCTTCTTTGGAGCAAGTTCTTGATCTTAAGAGCACTCCTTTCGAAGATATAGTGGGACGTATGAAAGCTTTTGAGGAACGTGTAGCAGAGGAGGAAGAAGATGAGCAGGAGAATCAGACAAAGCTTATGTATGCTAACAACGAGACGCAACAGAACCGTGACAACAATAACTATAGGGGTCGAGGCAGAGGAGGACGTTTTAATAACAGAGGAAGAGGTCGCGGTCGTTACACCTACAACTATGATCGTGATCTCTCCAAGATTGTGTGTTTCCGATGTGACAAGACTGGACATTTTGCCATGGACTGTCCCGATCGACTCCTAAAGTTACAAGAGGCACAGGAGACGAAGGACAATGATACACAAGAAGCTGAAGATCTGATGATGCATGAAATAATTCTTCTCAACGAACAGAACATGAACCGAAAGGATTTTGAAACAAACCAGGGTGGAGAAAATACATGGTATTTGGACAATGGTGCAAGCAATCATATGACCGGGAATCAAGCTTACTTTCAGTCCATTGATAAAACGATCACGGGGAAGGTGCGTTTTGGTGATGATTCACGGATTGACATCAAAGGGAAAGGATCAGTTCTGTTCGTTACTACAAATGGAGAGAAAAGAGTCCTAGCTGACGTGTACTATATCCCTGACCTGAGAAGCAATATTATCAGCCTAGGACAAGCCACAGAGTCGGGTTGTGATGTGAGAATGAGAGGTGATTGTCTTACACTGCACGACAAGGATGGAAAGCTGATCACAAAAGCCAAACGATCCAAGAATCGTTTATATAAAGTTCTTATCGATGGAACGAATCAGAAGTGTTTGAAGACAGAGATTCTTAGCGAAAGTGATAGGTGGCATGCGAGGTTGGGCCATATCGGAAGAGACTCAATGAAATCTATGATAAAGAAGGAGCTTGTTAGCGGAATACCGAGCGTATACATTGGGAGAGAGACATGTTCTTCGTGCTTGCTTGGAAAACACGCAAGAAACTCATTCCCAAAGGCAACCTCATATCACGCAAGTCATGTCTTAGAGTTGATACACGGGGACCTCTGCGGACCTATTGCTCCCTCTACGCCGGCGAAGAACAGATATATTTTTGTTCTAATTGATGATCACTCACGTTACATGTGGTCGATCCTACTCAAGGAGAAGGGAGAGGCTTTTCAGAAGTTCAAACGATTCAAGGAGACTGTGGAGAAAGAGACAGGAGCAAGCATAAAGACTTTCAGAACAGATCGAGGCGGAGAGTTCTGCTCCACGGAGTTTCAGACGTTCTGCGAGACAAACGGCATAGCAAGACACTTGACTGCTCCTTATTCTCCTCAACAAAATGGGGTTGTTGAAAGAAGAAATAGAACTCTACTTGAAATGACACGGAGTATTCTTAAACACATGAGCGTTCCAAACTATCTATGGGGGGAAGCTGTGAGACACTCCACATACACTATCAACCGTGTAGCTACGAGAGTTCTATCCAAGACTCCATATCAGATGTATAAAGGGAAAAGACCAAACATTGAGCATATGCGAGTATTTGGGTGTTTGGGTTACGCTAAGGTAGACAGTGTCCATCTCAAGAAGTTAGATGACAGATCACGGAAGCTAGTGCATCTGGGAACCGAGCCAGGATCAAAGGCTTATAGGCTGTATGATCCAACGAGTCGCAAGGTGGTGGTGAGTAGAGACGTCGTGTTTGATGAGAGCCAAGGATGGAATTGGAAGTCGAGTGAAACAGAGGTGGAGAGTGTGTCTGGTGCATTTACCATATCCTTTGGAGACTCTGGAAACAGAGGTATAAGCTTGAATGAAGAAGAAACAGGTGCTATGATCAAAGACGAGAGTGATGGTGACAAGAATGAAGCTGCAAAAGAAAGCTGCAGTGATGATAACGAGTCTGACGATAACAATAATGATCCCATTGTGTTAAGAAGATCAAGCCGAGAGAGTAAGAAACCAAGTTACTTGGAGGATTACGTATTGCTGGCAGAGTTCGAGGGTGAAGAGTTGCTAATGTGTTTGAATGATGAGCCATGGAGTTACAGAGAGGCAAAGGAAGAAAAGGTGTGGAGAGATGCTTGTGATGATGAAATACTCTCGATCGAAAGGAATAAAACTTGGGATCTCGTTGATCTCCCAAAAGGAGCTAAGGCGATAGGGTTGAAATGGGTGTTTAAAATCAAGAGAAACTCAGATGGGAGTATTAACAAGTTCAAAGCAAGACTGGTAGCGAAGGGATACATACAGAGGCATGGGATTGACTATGAAGAAGTTTTCGCACCGGTTGCACGCATTGAGACCATCCGTCTCTTGTTAGCACTCTCAGCGTCTAAGGGATGGGAAGTACATCATCTGGATGTAAAAACAGCATTCCTCCACGGTGATCTAAAAGAAGTCGTCTATGTAACTCAACCTGAAGGCTATGTAGTAAAAGGGAAGGAAGAGAAAGTGTTCAAACTGAACAAGGCTCTGTATGGTCTAAAACAGGCACCGAGGGCGTGGAATGAGAAGTTGAACAGAGTACTTGAGCAACTCGGTTTCTTCAAGTGCTCAAAGGAACCTGCGTTATATAGAAGAAAAGAAAAGGATCAACTACTTCTGGTGGCTGTCTATGTTGATGATTTATTGGTTACAGGAACAAGCTTGGAGATGATAACAGATTTCAAGAGGAGCATGTCTAAGAAATTTGACATGAGTGACTTGGGGAAGCTAACATACTACCTCGGAATAGAGGTGCGTCAGTTTGAGCAAGGAATAACCTTAAACCAAGAAAGGTATGCGAAGAAGATTCTTAGTGAGAATAAGATGGATGACTGCAACGCTGCACAAACACCAATGGAACAAGGTCTGCAACTCTCAAAGGGAATTCACGAGGAAGACATAGACGAGAAAGAGTATCGCAGAAACATTGGTTGCCTCAGGTATTTGCTGCACACCCGACCAGACCTTTCATATTCAGTTGGAGTTTTGAGTAGGTACATGCAGCAACCCAAGAAGTCCCATGGAGCAGCACTTAAACAAGTGCTGAGGTACATTAAGGGAACCTCCTCGCATGGTCTCTGTTTTAAGCGAGGAGACAAAGGCGAACTCTTAGGTTTCAGTGACAGTTCTCATGCTGTTGATGAGGATGATGGTCGCAGCACTGCAGGTCACGTGTTCTATTTGGAAGACAGTCCAATAACTTGGTGTTCATCGAAGCAGGAGACAGTCGCACTATCCTCATGCGAAGCAGAATTCATGGCAGCTACGGAAGCGGCGAAACAGGCGATCTGGCTACAAGACCTATACGAAGAGATTACTGGAATGACACGTGAGATCGTAACAGTATTCGTGGACAACAAATCAGCTATGGCTTTGACTAGGAACCCAGTGTTCCACGGCCGCAGCAAACATATCCACAGGCGTTACCATTTCATACGCGAATGTGTTGAACGTGATCTCATTGAAGTTCAACACATACCCGGTGATAAGCAGAGAGCTGACATACTGACAAAAGCACTTGGAAGAATCAAGCATAAGGAGATGAGGGAGTTGATGGGAGTTCAAGATGTCAGTCA